CTTCGAGTGGCCCAGGTTGAGAAACACTGCTTTAGACAGTCTTTCCCGTAAAAAAGATTGGAAGGCACCCTCTTTCTTCAGATCAGATTGCAACCTAGATAGTTTGCTGGAGTCCTGGTTGATACCCTGGTTTTTTCCTGCTCTGTTTTGGGGACATGGGTCCCCAACCCCCCCCCGAGGGAGAAATCTTTACCCCGGTTGCTCTTCCCCAGGTAGCAGAGGCAGTAGCTGCCGTCCCTTTCCCTGTGGCAGAAGGCCAGTCGCTCCCCGACGTCTTGTACGGCCAACAGCCCCGGACGGCCTGGAATTCGTTGTCTTCTTGTGGCAACCAAGGCGATGTCCACTGCTTCGCTCAGTCGGTGGTGCTGAGAGGGATCGGCAAGCAGCAGCAAGTGAGGTGGGAATCTTGGCAGGGTGCGCTCGCCTTCACATTCTTAGCATGGGTGTGTTTATACGCCTCTTTGGAAATGACGTTTGGCCTTCCTGCTTGGGGGATTACAGCTTCCCTCCTTCCAGCTCTGGCCCTTGTTTCCATTCAAGCAACAGGACTTTTACAGACCCTTAGAAAGACTGTCTGCCTCCCCCATAAAACCAGTTCCCCAGTGGTTCAGCTGACTTCCGATCAGTTAGAAGGCCTGCTAAGCACATTCGTGGAGGGCAGAGGGTATCCAGCGGGGACTCGCCCTGAATCAGGAAATCCTTTAGCTGAGATGTCTCTGCTACAGCTCAGTTCCTACAATGCAGGGCTCCTGCGTGCCCAGTTTTCATTTTTGACCCCCTGCATCTGGAAAGCTAGCACCCCAGGGAATAGTTGCAGCAGCCTAAAACCAACAAGTGATTTTCCAGTTTAAAGCAGAAGCATTTATTTATGGGGGAGTGCAGCTTTATTGATCTTCTCCTTCCACAAAACAGGGCAACTTGTAAGGCATGCCTTACCTCAGCCGGGGACAAAATCCCTTTGGATTTGCAAAATCGCTTTGCATCTCAGGATTTGCTTCTCTAGCACCACTTTGCACAATCGTCCAGTCCATCGGGGCATTTGCCACTTAACGCCGTACTGCTGGGATTTTAAACGCGTGCAGAATTTTACCCTTGGGTTAAACGAGTATCAATTCGCTGTTGAACTAAGCATGGCTAAGTAAGCAAGCCTGCTTAGGACTCTTTGAAACAGCCAGACGATTTGAACAATCCGGTTCTTGGCCACTTCTCTGATTTGGAGATGGTGGATGGGATGTGAAGAGGGCAGATAATGACCCAATCCATTTCTGGGGTCTCTCCGGAATCCCGGTTCAGCCCCTCCTTGTAACTCACGGTCTCTCCCTTCTTATTTTACTTGTAGCAACACCCCCCCGGGCACCGAACCCAAATCTGTTCTTCACATGTGTGAGACCGGCCAGGAGGTGCTGGCCCGCTACTTACACACAGACTCCCCCAGAACCATAAGGTTGGTGGTCCGGCCAGCCAGGGCGAGAGGAGGGGAGGAGATGGGGGTGGGGGAATGTTCCCGCACAAACCTTCCTGTCCTTTTCTCCAACAGCACCTCGCTCTTGCTGCAAGGCCCTTGCAAGCTGTTGCCTCCGTATCCCCAGTTCTTCTCCCCTTTCCTGAACAAGCACGGATTCCTCTCGGAGAAGCCGTCGCGTGCCCCGGCGAGTAAGGACCCTTGGCTTGGCTTAAGGAACGTATCGGGGGGGGGCCACGTTGTGTGCTAGGCCAGAATGTGGTTTGTTGTGGGGGTTGCACGATCCCAGACACTACTGTTTGTGCACCGTGGGGTACATGGCTTCAGCTGGGGTGTTGAATTCTGAGGGTCGCAATGGTGATCAACTGCGGGGGGGAGAGAAGACAGGGACCAGCAGCAACCGTGAATCCTGCAGGTCCCAGGATCGGGAACCGTGTGGCAGGAAACATACGAATGAAGCTGAATTCTGAACCTGGAAGCCTCACCACGCTGTGATTTCTTTTCTCTTCCAGAGGTCGAAAGCATCCCCATCTTAGCTGCCTTCCAGGCCTCGGCTGGCTTACGGAGAACCCTCGGCGATTTTTACAGAGAGCTGTGTCGAACGGACTTGCGGCGGTGGGTGAGTTTTTTCTCCGCAGGCGTGGAGATGGATGACTTCCAGGAGGCTCTGGACGAGCTGCGGACACTGTCCCAGCGCTACAAGAACAGCAGCTCAGCCGACGACTCGGACGACGATACGGACTAGCCGCCTTCCAGGAACGCCTCGAATGCTTATTGGCTCCGATTGCATTTAAAATAACCGAAATAAAATGTGCCAAGGCTGCCTCCTCTGCGTGTTTTTAAGGGTTTTTGCGTAGTGTTCAAAATGGCGTGCAGAGGAAAACGCCAGCCTCAAGCCTTTGGCTTTCACAACAGGATGCTTTTATTCCTTAAAATACAATCACGCAATAAATATTCACCCCAAACTGGAATTTACACATTCCCCTACTTTTTAAAAATATTTACATCGACTCTGACCCAAGAGGCAGGGGGCTATTTCTCCCACAGAGCAGCTCCAACCCACCTTTTCAGGGGGAGGAGAAAAACCTTTCAACAACGCTTCAGCGTTCTGCAGTCTCAGGTGAGATGTTCGGGAGCAGAGGTGGTCCAACACCCGCCGGCCCTGGAAGTTTCTCTCGGCTGCAGAGGAGTTCTTGTCTCGGACTAAAAGCCTTGATCTTCCCGCTCGTCCTCCGAGATGGCGGGGTCTTTGTCAGAAAGCTGGTCCGTGTTGCTGGTGCTCATCCCGTCCTCCTCGTCCTCCGAACTGACGTCGCAGGCCGTGTGGAACAAGGTCATCAGTTCCCAGAAGCGATGGGCCACCTGAATGGGAAAAACAGCCGTTACAGGCAAGGGGAAATGGGAAAGGCAAAACTCGCAGTATTCTCAGCCGTGTACGTTGGGTGAAGGCGGTTGACGTGGCGTAGGGTCCAAGGCGTGCAGCTCAATGTGCGTGCAGCGCCACTGAAGTGCTCCAGATAAGGGCGGCATTTGAACATAAGCCCCTTCCTGGCCTATGCCTCCTCTGGGGAAAGGCTCCACGCTGCTCTCAATCTACACCAAATAAAGGGGGGGAGACCGCTTTGGCCTTTCTGCGTGTTTTCAGGGTGCAGCAAAATCATAGCCCAGCAACAACAGAAAAAGAGGAGCGAGAAAAGACGCATTACTTCTAAATCACAGGTCATCTTTCCACTCGGTCCAGATTTTGAACTTTGGGTTTTTGTTTTTTTTTGCATTCTACCAGCAAGCAATTTGCAGTGTCTG